CCATGTTTTGAGTATTTATTTCTTTACAGTTGTTCTATCCCTCCCTTTAGTGTTCTCAGTGTCTTTACCAATATATGCACTTTCTGTGCACACATTTCCCTAATATATTTTTTTTTCTGTGCAATTCCCCTATTGTATGCATTTTGCATACATTTTTTTATTTGTGTTCTACACCACAAAATTGAGTAAGGCATGAGCATCATTGAATAAATCCATCCATCCATCCAATTTCCACTTTTCAAACTGACACACGAACAAAACCCTGGGACATCAGAATGAAGCCATATTTCTTCTCTTCTTCTTTCTGAAGACTGAAAGAACAGGGCAATGCTTTTCTTCCCCCTAAAATATGCCTCAGGCACTTGGAGGTGAAAGCAAGCAGAATTCTGCCTGGTTCGCCTCCTGATAGAAACTCACCCAGGCCAATTTCCCAAATCAATATGTGCAATTATTCCTCAGTAGTCACACATCTGGGAAATTCCTGATCCAATCCTCTGAAGCAAAATGTGTATTAGGGAAAGTATTCTCAAAAAAGACACATATGAATGAAAACAAATACTGAAAACCTTATATAAGGGAAAACAGGTTGCAAAAATTTCTAAGGTTAGGCAGCACTGCACACAAACAAAACACTCTATTGAGGAACGACACAAAAATGCGTACGGATTTTTCTGCTGGCTTGCTTTTTTTTTAAGTTGCAAACCGATACCAAAATGGGATGCGAGGAACTTCAAGCTGGAAAACTGAGCAACTGGAAGAAAGTGGAATTGACAGCTCTGCCCATTCCTCTTTGGGAGCAGACAGCAAACGAGAAGGCAAGGGAAAGATCCTTCCTCCGCCCAAGGCAATGGTCCTTTTGACAGATGGGAGAGCGGGGCGGAAGGGAGGAGAAGCAAAGGGGGAAGGCATGAGGAAAGGACTGGAATTCTCCCCACTTCCCCCGGTTAAATTCGGTAAACTTGATGTGCCTAGCCATAGGACTTTACGGCACGATATTACTGCGGATGGATAGCTGGCACCAAATGAACGCCTTGGTCCCTAGCCTCTCCGAAGCGGGGGGTGGGTGGTAAGAAGACAGAAGAGTTTGGGTGACACACCTCTCTCCCCTTTCCTGCCTGCTATGTGCTCTTCTTCGGCTGACGAGATGCTCACTGCTGAGGAAAGAGGAGGGGCCTAGAAATATCTTCCCCTCCACGCACACAGATGAGTTTCAGGCAGGCTCCTCCAAACCCCCAGACCTCTCTGAGAATGCAACGCCAGAGCTTTTCCTAGAAGCAAACATGGCAAAATGGAGGTTGTCCGAAAGTGGGCACATCACGAGGAGGAAACCCTCCCTGGAGAAGAGCTCGTGCCAGGAACAGTGGAAGGCAGAAGCAAAGGAGGAAGAGCAAACAAGAGACGAAGGGACTCCATCAAGGAAACCACGGCCTGGGATGTTCAAGAGCTGAACAGGGCAGGCACGGAGGGGAGAGTTGGAGGGCCCGCTTTGGAGGGGAGCTGACAGCACGTGACAGCAGCAAATCCAAGAACTGTCATCGTTGGCCCACGCGCCAGCCTTTCCACCATGGATGCTCCCCTAGCAGCTGACTTTTTGCCAGGGTTTGCACGGACACCCTTTGCAACAAGGACAAACGTTGCACAAGATAAAAGAAGCAGAGAATATCAGCAGACAAAGAGAAGCCAGATTTGACAACTGACTTTCCTGCTCGCTTATTTGCCAGACCTTGCACTTACCACCTCTCCCTCTCCTCTCCCTCTCTCTCCATTCACACACACACACACAGACACCATTACTCCCCTTTATATAACCCAGTGCATTAGGCCCATGTTAGTCTGGGCTTAAAAATAAGTTGCACCTGAGAAGGCTTAAGCCAGACCCAAGAAAAATGCACACTAGCACCAGCACAGAGTGGAAACTCCATGGGACAGAGATCACTGCCATGTCTTTGACCCCGATTCTGATTCACCACATTATTCCAGCACTGTTCTCACTATGGTTTTCCTCACTGCCATCATCTGGCTTCTGTACTGCACTTTCAACATTCTACCTGATACACCTTACAGTGCTCTTGCAAGGTAGGCCAGCAATCCTTACACATATTTCCAAAATAATCCTCACCCAAATTTCTGCCCAGAATCCCAACTTTTCAAATGGCCTGTTTCTGATTCCAAAGTGGAACTGATCCATAGGGAAACCCTCCACTTTTCCATCCCCCCCTCCTTTTGGCCGTGCATGTTTAGTCTGCTCCACCTTTCCACTCCTTGGTGGATTTTCCATTCTGTACACCCCGCATTAGCCACAGCGTCACATCACTAGAGCTCGCTCAGGAAATAAGCTGCTGCATGAGCTGTTTTCATACGGAGCCCAGCCACTGTTTTTGCTAGTCCAGGAGCCATTGCAAATGGATGCCTTAAACAGTTTTTTTTTTTTCTCACCCTGCAACCTGAGATTAGTGATGCATGAAACATTTGCTTTTGTAAGCATATTCTGTTCAAAGCTTTGCATACAAGTGTGAGCATGAGCATGAGTCCGCCAAAACAATCTATGAAGGGCAAACAAATACTCACACTCATCTGGGTCACAATTTCCAGTTTGGCTTGCAAATTTTCCCGTCCGTGCAAATTCACCCGTAGATGGAAACAGCCCCACTTCTGGGGCACGTTTGGGGAGAGCTGCCCAAATTTCAGGAAATTACTGCACATCTCCTGCTTGGTTGCTAAAGATTTCCATTTGCGCAAAGCTGGCCATGACTGCAAATGGGAACCAAGACTGGGCCCCAGAAGAGAAGCAAGACAATGTCCAGACAATCCCAAGGCTGCGAACATCGCTTATTCACACAAGAATCTCAAAGACAGGACTGAACCAGGGTGGCTGACTCACATACTTCCTTAATCTTGATATTGTTTCATTTAACACTGCATCATTCCTTTCCTGCATGTTCAGGAACATGCTCAGCATGTTCCCAAGAGAGCGTCTTTGGTCCCACCAAGAAACCGCACCCCAACATAATCCTGATGCAACAGTGAGCTTGGCTGTTTCTCCCTTTCTTGCCCCTACCTCTTTTTCTGGGAAAGTTTTTAAAAATTCATCCACAAATATACGGAAGAGATGTATTAACTGAAAGCCGTGGCAAATGTCACACAAATAGCATTCTATACTAAATTCAGATTTTTTAAAAATAATACACGAAAATAGTATCTTTATGAATCAGAAGCAATTTGGAAACAAGACTGTTTTCAGAATACAAAAAGCCAGGGATGCATGATCTTGAGGAAAGTTTGAAGATGGTGATAGCACATGCACAGAATGAGGAACAGAAGATCGCAATCACCCCAGAGTGTTGGACACGGCCAAATGGGCTAAAGCTCCTGGAAGTCACATTCCAGCCAAAACAACCTCACTGTTGGAGCAGTGCAACAATGGGACCCAGGACCTAGGGAGGTGGTGGGCTCTCCCACACTGGAGGCACTCAAGATACAACTGGAGAGTCACCTGAGATGGTTAAACTGGGCATCCTGAACTAAGCAGGGGGTTGGACCCGATGGCCTTCTGGCCCCTTCCACCTCTACCATGCCTTCAAAGCGAAACAGCAACGGTGCTGAATTCTCATCTCTGTACAATGTCTCCCCTTTGAAAGACACTATAACAATTATTCCTGAGCAGTAAAGCCCTGCCAATTTTGCCACTCAAGCTTTAACATTCTGATTTAGTTTATTGCCAACATAAAACAGGCATTAAAAAGATAGTAATCTATATTCCCTCATGCTACAGAACAATTCTGTTCTGCACCCAGAGGAGGTAATATTCTCCCTCTAACCAAGGCATAGGAAGAGCAGGTGCAAATTGCAGGTGCAATATATTCAGTTCCAAGCTAAGTAGAAAATAGGACCACCACATGTTCATGATTAAGTACCCCTCTAAATTAGTGTCCCTCTCCAAAGAGGAGACTTCCCACAAAACACGGCTCTCTTCCTGGCCCCATGGCACAGAAAGGGGGAACAGAAAGGCTAATTAGCTCATCTGGAACCAACGGTCATGGCCTCCACGCTTCTATGTGGGGTTTTGATGGTGCATCCAACACACCAACCCACATATGCAGAGATTAACAGCTTAGCCTCCGTTTTTATTTCACGGTCATGCGATAAGCCAGCCGTTGAGGATTAGGTTTTCCATGCCTTCATCCATGTGCCCATTCCTCTCTCCCATGCTGCATCTGGTCATAAGTACGCCAACCCACAGGGGTGAATGAATTTCCCAGCCTACGCTGGGAAAGGGTTCCAAGGCGTGTAACAGCCATTTGTGTGCACAAATGCCAGAAATGTTGAACTGCTTGTGCCACCAGGAGGGTCGTCTGGAGCTCGAGCTGAAATCAAAGTGGACTGGCTAGCCTGAAGGGTAGGCATTGTTCAGCACTGGTAAGGTCCCCACCCTGGCAATTACGGGGTGCTCCCCTCCCTGGGCATCCTAGGATGCAGAGGGAGAGGGAAAGTGAGCAAGCAGGGGGAAGGAGCAGGGCAATCCCCAAACCTGAGGCCAGCAGATTTTAGTATGTTGCGACTCCTGCGAGTCCCTTGGAGTGCAAGACAGTCAAACCGGTCAGTCCTGGAGGAGATCAACCCTGACTGCTCTTTAGAAGGCCAGATACTGAAGATGAAACTCAAATACTTTGGCCACCTAATGAGAAGGCAGGACTCCCTGGAGAAGAGCCTGATGGTGGGAGCGATCGATAGCAAAAGGAGAAGGGGACGGCAGAGGATGAGGTGGCTGGATGGAGTCACTGGGAAGGAGGGTGTGAGCTCAGGTGGCCTCCGGGGGATGGTGGAGGACAGGAAGGCCTGGAGGAGTCACGATGGGTCACGATGGGTCGAACACAACTTCACAACAACTAACTTCACAACTAACAACAACAAAAGCTGCCCAGAGTGTCTATGGCTGGTGAGGTGGCATATAAAGCAAGCAAGCAAGCAAGCAAGCTACATTTATTTAAGCATGTGCTTACCTGTGAGGAGAGTCAGGATCAAAGCATGTCTTGGTCACATCGGTGATCTCCGGGTTGCAGCAATTCCCGCCATCATAGCTGTACTTCTCATAGTTGCAATCCATGTTGCACACGCCATTCTGCTTCTTGTTCTGCGGCGAATGGCGCACGTGCCGGCAGTCCCCGCCGTCATACCCGGTCAGGGTATGGTTGCATTCTGGGTCACAGTTCTCGTCGCCGATCTTGTTGATGTCGCAGTTGGCCAGGATGAGGCGGTGTCGAAGCGAGGAGTTCTTCAGCTCCAGCACCGCCAGCTCCCAAGTGATGTTGTAAGGGCCAAAGGCCTCGTTGAGCTGCTGATGCTGAAACTCGATCTGCTGGCGGCTGACGGTCGGGTTCTGGTAGTGATCGTCAAAGATGTTCACCACACGGTAGCGGACGACCTTCTTGTGCTGGAAACTCGGGAGTTTGTTGTAGCTGGTGATGACCTCCACGTTGTCACAGACAGTTTGCCCACATGGGGGAGGGTCAAGGCTAGTGTCCAGCAGGTAACTTGGGTGGGAGGTGAACTCAATCTGAGGAAGACTTGGGCTATCTTTCATGGGGGACCAGGTGCTTTTCACATTCAGTAAAGTCTCCTGAAAAACAAGCTGAGGTAGAGAAGCTTCTACTCCATGAGTCGCCCGGGTCATATCCAACAAGATCTCCTTCTGAGACCGGGCTGTTCTCCAAAGGCTGAAGTGTTCTATGTAACCCCGATAATTCTGATTTAGGGTGTTCCCACCAAGCATGAGCACTTTGCATTTTGTGGTCAAAGGGCTGAAGAGGCTCCCCACCTGCTCCCTGCTGGCTGCCATCTGGGCACCATTCACATAGAGCTTCATCAGGTGTCCGTCGTAAGTGATTGCTAGGTGAACCCACTGATTCGGGAGGTAGCTGCGGTGGTCTGTGATTGTGGTAACCTTCCGGGCACGGTCCGTCTTCAAGGAAAAAAAATAGCGTGGATCTCTGTTCCCCTGGTCACTGACGTTGTTAATCCCCAGGACCCATCCTCGGTCAAGGGTCGTGTAGGAACATTTGTCGTAAAGGCCTAGGTGTGCCCAATGAAAAGAAAAGAAATGAAAGTGAAGTAAATATGGGCAATGGCAGCAATAACACCTATTTTAAATCTGGAAGGGCAGCCACTTCCAGAGTCATCCAGGAGCATCAACTGCTCTGATGAGAAACAACACCAAGGCTGAAGTACAGGGGCCACTTAGGGCAAGGGAGATCCCCATTTTGTGGCAGGGGAGGAAGGAAGGACAGAAATCCTTTGCAACCCTTAGTGGTGAAATTACTCTAAGAAATCACATTCATTTTACTCAGGCAGAAAGCTTGACATCATTAGTTCGGACCAAATCCTCACCAAACTGACCCAATTTGCTAATTTTCACACCTTCATACAGTACAGGTTTCAGGGCGGGTGGTGCATATTAAAACTTGCATTTCAAGTTGGCATGGTAGAAACGTGCCGAAATAACAGCAGGGAATGTCACAAAATATCTAGGTGGTCTTAAAGCGAAAGGAAACCTTTCCCATGGATGGGTCTCCTGTGGGCGGCCCGTTCCTCTAAGTTTCAGCACCACCCACCCCAGTTTCAAAACTGCACGAAGTACATCCATCTAAGCCATTGCACTGTTCCTGAGATCTGTCTTCTCCCTTCTCCCATTCCTTCCCAGCCACCACAAGATACACGCCTACGTGCTTCCATTTGGGCCTACGTGTGCCACAAATTGAGATGAGAGTTAAGCGCATCTCTACATGAGGCTGTTAATTTGCTGTGTCTACAATGGCTTTCATCACAGAAATGAACTCTGAGCCCTGTTTTCCCGCTACTTAAGCTCTTGGTGGCACTGTGGCATAAAAGCTAAGCACATCCCGAAAGAGACAAGAGCATCTCCCTCTGTTTTTGCAAATAAGATCCCATTCCCCTGCTCCTGACCAAACCAAACTGAGCCGAGCCGAGCCTAGCTAAAGCGAGTTGAACTGAGCCAAACTGCCAACTTCCTGGAAGTACTCTTTAGAAGGAAAAGTGGAACTGAAGGCCAGAATGCCATCTTCAGAACGTGTAAACAGCTGTGAGGAGGCAGTGATGAGAAAAGCTCGAAATGGTGCACAGTTATGCTACTGAGGCAACAGGAGCAGGGTAACTTCATATTAGAGGGGGGAGATTTTTCTGCATTTTTCTTTACATTAAAAAACTGTTAGGTGGGAAAACACAAAGATCCCCCTCCTTTTATTGAGGGGCTCCTTCTGTCACCATCCCCCCATTTCAGCTTTGGAAGGAAGGCTAAAACAATGCAGCAGCCTTCCCCAACATGGCACCCACCAGATGTGTTGAACTACAACTCCCAGAATCCCCTAGCTAGCATAGCTTCCTATTTCCCATCTGGCAACATCTCTTCCCCATCCCACACAGCTGCTATTTGTCCAACAAGCAGCTTGTTTGCAATAAACAGGGAAAAGTTTGCTGTTCTTTTCCTGAAAAATGGAAATGGCCAGCTGGTTCTAAACATGCAAAGTGTGCTTCGTGGAATGCACAGTGCGAGATGCATTTCTCAAGAGCCCGAAGATGCATCGTAGCCTTGACAATCCCATCCTAAGGGAGCTGGGCTGCATGGCTCTGGAGTGTACAATTAAATTTGAGAGAAATGAGCGAGGCGGTTACTGTTGGCTCAGCATAGTAGCAGGTAAACAAATGTGAACTCCAGCACACTCACCCACACACGTCACAGAATGTGGGTGTTTCAATACAATATTGTGTGCCTGTTGCATTCCCCCTGCCTCTCAGACGCATGAACCTTCACCCCATCATTCTCTTCTCTGACACCCGTGGCAATTTCTGGTTCCGAAGAAACGCACCCAGGTCTTTCATCCATCGACAATTGTTTGTTGACACTGTGGTCTTGGAAAGCATCAAAGGAGCCAAAGAGATCTGTTTTTATTTTCTTCCTTCCCCCAGTTCAAAACCTAACTCAGTGAGGCGAAACCCTTTCAAAAACATAAATAAATACATTTCTCACCCCCCCCCCACCGTTATTTTCCAAGGGGCTCTTCCCTTCCCCTCTTCCTGTTACCTTTGGAAGGGAGATGGAAACATTGGGCAGGTGATGTGTTTCTTCCTCTATGGGGTCCATGAAATTCCAAAACACCGTCTTGACAGTAAGTCCAACCTTAGCGCAGTGACTCCTGATCATGAGAAGGGGGCACGGTGGGCACAGGCAGAGGAGAAACCGGTTGGTTTGCTCCCGTATTCAGATTCAGGATGAGGCGACGTGTGTCTCCCAGGGATGGGAAAGCGATCAACACGCTGGCAGGCCATTCCCCAATTGCTTTCGTATTTTGCAGCAAGATTTATTAGCCCCCTCACCCCCACAGCTCCTCAGGCTTGTGCTCCGGAAGGGGGGTGGGCGTTCTTATTTGCCGTTTCAGACGACCAGCCCTGACCCATGATCAGCTCAGCTGTGCGTCGTGCATGAGTGGGGAGGTGGGGCATCAGGAGTTACGAGGATCATTACGATCGCGTCCTATTTATGGCTCATCTTCCTTCCTCTTCCAAGGAACACCCAGCAGCTGGCAAGGTTCTCCCCTCTGTTTTATCCTCACAACAACAACCCGGCGAAGAAGGTACATGACTGGCCCAAGGACTCCCAGCAAGCCCCATGGCTGAGGGGGGACCAGAACGCAGATCTCCCAGGGCCCATTCACTGCCCTCACCACTATGCCGCACTGCTTGTTGCTATATGGAGATGGCCCTGGGGGTCCAGACGCCTGGCGCCGTCGTACTTTGTTTTTTTGTGCCAGGCTAAGACCTTTTTATTTAAACAATATTTTAACAACTCTTAATAATATCTATAGGTTTTAATTTTGCAGCCAGGGTGATTCTGGGTTTTTAATTGTATTATTTTACTATGTATTATATTTATTTATTTTATGTGAGCTGGCCCAAGGCTATAAGTGATGCGACAGCATACAAACATTCTAAATAAATAAATAAAGGGGGGATACAGAGGGTAGAAGCAAAGTCTTGCATGTACCCCCCATTTACTGGGATAGGAAATTTGGTGGGGGAGCTAGGGGGGTGGGCAAGCAGGAAAAGGGCCTTCTCAGTAGTGACCCCCCCCCCCCAGATATGGGAAAAGGCCCTCTGGGTGCCAGCTTTACTATCCTTTCAGCACCAGGTCCAGCCTGCCCTCTAAGCCAAGGTATGGAATAGCTCTAGCTAGCAAATGCGTCTACGGGTGGCAAGGATGCTGTTTTAACAGATCCAGCTGCATTGCCCTTTCTTGGTCATTTCAATTTGGTTTTAAATTCAGTTTTGAATGTCTCTAGTGAAATGTTATTCAGCTATTGAGTGGCAAGGAAATGAAACGTGGAGAAAAACGTTTCTCCAAGCAGTTCAGAGGGGTATACATGATTCCTTCTTTGCATTTGGTGCTCACCGTAACCTTGTGAGGTAGGTTAGGCTGAAACCTTCTGGTGAGGACACATGGGCCCAGGGACACCCCGTCGGCTTCCCAGGGAACTTGGGATTTGATTCTGGGTGTCATCTGCTGCCCAAGTCCAGCACTCCAACCACAGACTTTTAACCCTCACAAACATGTATCTGTCCGATCGGAGGATTGCTATAAATCTGGACGGCACGTAGAATCAAAGGCAGCATCTCCTCTCTCCTTTAACACAACAGACTCAGCCCACGTTAACAAGGGGACTGGTCTCCCGAGATCTTGCGAGTACTCCTAACCACTGAGAGTTGACACACTCTGCCCAAGCTTGCTTCCCGAATTTGCTGGGATGTGGTGAACTGCGGTCTGACCACAACATGAGGCTAAAGACATAACGATGTATTTTGACTGGGAAGAGAACTCCCAGAAACGCCATCATGCGAAAGCAGGGCTGTGAATTGGATCTGCAGCCTAAGTCATCACCACCAAGTCTCGCTCCCACGAGTCCGCAAGAACAGCTCAGTAGGTTGTGTTTTGTGGGGAGACAGCCCAAAGAACATCACCTGAACTAGAGAATGCACAAGCCATTGCCTGTGAGTCTCCCAAAACCCCAGTAGATCCCAGATATGGGACAGAACTCAACACCGAATGGTTTTTTAGTCCCCAAGCCATTTTGCCGTTTTGCTGAGGGTGCAGGAACGTCTTTTGGAGGCTGAGATAAGAAGGGTGGAGGCGTGAAAGCGGTTCTGGAGGAGAGGTATTTTATTTCTAACTTGTGGCAGGGTGGTGGCAGTGGCCGGAGAGCCAGGCATGTTCTCAGGAAGAAGAAAGGAGAGTGGAAATTAACAGTCCCCGTAACTTCTGGAAGTTGTCATTGCCCGCTTGGCTAGGAGAACGCAACCATAGGTGACAGGACTTAGTTATGAAAGGGGAATTTAGGTCAACTATCAAAGCTGCCGACAGGGGCCCACGAACAGGGAGTTAAAGGTTGGGGCTGTGTTCTTTCCCCTCACATGCTTTAATCGCTTAGTATCAAAGTCGCAGCAGAACGCTTGAAAGAGCAAATATTCTACAGGAACCTATAGAAAGCTTTTATCTGTCCAGAGGAAAATAATTAAAAGAGACAGATTTGGGTTAAGTATTCCCATGTTCCACGCAATTGGATAAAGTCGGGGAAGATCCACCCAAGTACTTTCCCAAGTTCATTGTGTCAAAGATTTCCTCGGAAATCTCAGAACCATCATGGCTTGCATTTCATTATGTTGTCTACACAAGTAGGAGTGGATCCAGTAACTTTGCCTCTCTCTTCGCCTTCCACTTGCACCTTCTGCCACACAAAGCTTAAATAATGCAAACGTCCAATCTACTCAAGGCAAACACCCAGTCCGTGCAATTGCTAGCACGGCTAAAATGTCTCAAGGGCCTCGTGGGAAGCACGCAGCTCATGGACAAAAGAGCAGCCGCACTTGGGAATGGCTCGAACCAGGCCTTCGTACTTCTGGCAGAAAGTGCGCTCATGAGCCACCTTTCCAAAGGCAGGGGATCCCCAGAAAATACATCCAACCAGCTTGCGCCAAGCTGCTTCAGTTGGGTTGACAGCTAGCCTACTTCCTGGCCCCACCTGTCGAGAAGCAACAGAGTCCCACTTGTGGGTTTCTCCCCGTTGACAAGGCCGTGTAGGAAACACGCTGTTTCTGTAAAAGGCAACCAAACAAAGCAGCCCGGGAAAGAAGCAAACTCTACAGTGACAAAGGGATGGATGTTGACTTATCGTTGAAGCTCGTGTTCTAGTTCCTAACTAGGTGCTTGGAGATACGCGCAACACTGAGTTGATTTTGGGAGCGCTTTTGTTTCCAGTCTGTTGGATTATGTACGGCAAAAGCCAAAACAGGTGACCTTCCAGAGCACCTTTACCTAGATGCCATCAGGTCTGGTAGTACCTGATTGTCTTTCCAAACCATCAGTGACGGCTGCTGGCTGGAAATTGTGCCTCATTTTCTCCTAGGCTTGAGAAGATGGAAGAATGGGTGGGTCATTAAGGAAAGGTGCGATTTCCTCCCACCTCATCAGCTGCTTTTTTCTCCATGCACGGAGAGCATCAGCAATCCCAGCCAGCTGTTGATGTGTCAAAAGATGATAAAGGGGCCACTGGGACAGGTGAGGTGATGTGGCCAGGAAAGGGGAACAGGTGGCAGGCCAGACTGAAGAGCCTCCGTTAGCCTGCAGGCTAGGGATTCTCCACCATTGGCCTAACCACTGCACCAAACTGTCTCTCTACTTTGGCATGCAAAGGGTACGGCACAGTGGTTCATCTCAACTCAGTTGTGAGTTCAACTGAGTAACTCATACTACTACTACTAATAATAATAATAATGCAGGAATACCGCACGGCAATCAAACCGGTCAGTCCTAGAGGAGATCAACCCTGACTGCTCCTTCGAAGGCCAGATCCTGAAGATGAAACCCAAATACTTTGGCCACTGAATGAGCAGGAAGGACTCCCTGGAGAAGACCCTGATGCTGGGAACGATTGACGGCAAGAGAAAGAGGGGACGGCAGAGGATGAGGGGGCTGGATGGAGTCACGGAAGCAGTCAGCGTGAGCTTAGCTGGACTCCGGGGGATGGTGGGGGACAGGAAGGCCTGGAGGAGTGTTGTCCATGGGGTTGCGAAGGGTCGGACACGACTTCACGACTAACAACAACAACAACACATAGTTGCTCATCTATTCCACATATACCCACAACAGAATTTGCACACCACTTCCCTATAAACACAAGTGTAATCTGCATTTCATTCCATCTGTCTTGCTCCTTCCTCTGTTGAACCCCTTTCCACCAACAATCCATGATCTCATCTTTCTCTGAGCCTCATACCACACCTTCAACACCATAAGAATCAGGAATCTTCATTCCAAAACACTTCAAGCCATTTAGCCAGCAACTACGGAGGGTTCACCTCCAACCACTCAAAGCCAGAACTTTCCCAATCAATGGTGATAAGATGTCAAACTTGGAAGCAACGTTTCTCTTGCCTTTTGCCAAGTTCATCCGGGATGAAAATGGAGGAAACTATCCAGCGTTTCCCCTGCTGATAAACTTGGGCACATATCCAAGTTTCACCAAGCTGTTTAAGTTAACCATTTGGACATGAAGCCTACCAACACACACACACACACACACTTATCAGTGGCCTGCCTAGCAACACTTGCATGAATTTTAATGAAGATGATTGAGGAGGGCCAAAACGTGAAATACCAGGTCTTCAATCACGGAATGGGACAGCAGAAATAGTCTGGACGGGAAGCCTGGTTCTGCAGGTCTCTCGACGAGCACAGTTCCATCCCTCCATTCTAGCAGCAGGCCTGATGCTGACAAGGCAAACAAAGACGCTCAGGAAAAAACTGGCAGTTATGCAAATGAGACGCAGTCTAGAGCAGGGAGGGCAAGAGGAACAGATAAGGATGTGACCAGACAAGGCAAACTGCTGACTGAGCCATCAAACACACTGCGTTCACC